TCTTTTAAAATAAATAAATAAATAAATAAATAAATAAAAATAAATGAGGCCCAGAGAGCTTAAGCAATACCCCACCCACCTCAAAGTCACCCAAATTAGTAAGTTTGTCTCAGATAAGAAAACACGAAAAAGAATAATAACCAGAATATCCTCCAAGTATGGGGCAGGAAAAAAAAAGAATAATCAGAATATAGTACTAAAACTGCAATAAGATCCACCTTCTACACATCTAAACTACAATCACTGAATGATCATTTTCACACCAGGGAAGCACTGGCCTTTTTGATTTATTCTATTCATTTTCAAAAAGCCAAAGAGAACTGTTACAAGATTCCTTTATAAAGAAATCATTATATGAAATGCTGGTGAGGATGCAGAGAAAGGGGAACACTATATATATTGTTGGTGGGAATGTAAGTTAGTACAGCCATTATAGAAAACAGTATTGAGGTTCCTCAGAAAACTAAAAATATGATCCATCAATCCCACTACTGGACATATCCAAAGGAAAGAAAATCAGTTTATCAAAGAGATATTTGCACTTCCATGTTTTGTTCTGTTTCTTTTCTGGCAGCTGGCCAGTAAGGGAATGCACGTCCATGTTTTTTGCAACACTATTTACAACAGCCAAGATATGGAATCAACCCAAGTGTCCAGATGAATCGAAAAGAAAATATGGTATATACACACAATGGAATACTATTCAGCCATAGAAAAGACTGAGATCTTGTCATTTGCGGCAACATGGATGAGCTTGGAGGACATTATGCTAAGTGAAGTAAACCAGGAACAGAAAGACAAATACATGCTGATAACATCAAGGTCAAGGATTTGGATCCCTATACTGGCCAGCTGCCAAGGAAAAAAAAAATTAAAGAAAGAGAAATACCACATGTTCTCACATATATGTGGAAGCTAAGAAAGTTGATCGCATAGAAGTAGAGAGTAGAATGGTGATTACCACAGGCTGGAATGTGTATGGGGGCAGGGGGATAGCAAGAGGTTGGTTAACATACAAAATTACACCTAGACAGGAAAAATAATATCCAGTATTCTATAACACTGTAGGGTGACTATAATTAACAACAATTTATAGTATACTTTCAATTAACTAGAAGAGAGGTTTTTGAATGTTCCCAATACAAATAAATGATAAATGTTTGAGGTAATGGGGGGGGTAGAAAAAAGATCAGTGATTGGGCTGGCCAGTTAGATCAGTTGGTTAGAGTGCAGCCTTATAACACAAAGGTCATGGGTTCTGATCCCCACACCAGCCAGCTGCCCCCTCAAAATTAGTGGTTTCCAGGGCTTGGGGGAGGGAGGGATGAATAGGTGGAGCACAGATTTTAAGAGCAATGAAACTCTTCTGCATAACACTGTAATGGTAAATACATGACATGCATTTAACAAAGCACATAGAATTGTACAACACAAAGAGGGAATCCTAACGTAAAGCTGAGTTAATAACAACATAGAGATAGAGGGAAGACCATGTGAAGACACAGGGAGATGATGGCCATCTACAAGCCGAGGAGAGAAGCCTGGAACATATCCTTTTCCCTCATGGCCCTCAGAAAAAACCAGTCCTTCTGGCACCTTGATCTTGGACATCTGGTCTCCACAACTGTTGGGTGAGAATCAGATATGCCTGTGGAACAAAATGAGCAGGGAACTTATTTCACCCCACAGGGTCATCTCAAATCAGATAGAAGGTAACTCTGCCGGCCCGGTGGCGCAGTGCTACAGTGCGCCGCTTGGGAGCGTGGTGGCGCTCCCGCCGAGGGTTCGGATCCCACATACAGACCGGTTCCCGTTCACTGGCTGAGCGAGGTGCGGGAGCAACACCGAGGGTTGTGATCCCGTTGCCGGTCCCGGTCCGGTGCGGGCACGACACTGAGGGTTGCGATCCGTTGCCGGACACAGAAAAAGACAAAAAAAAGGAAAAAAAAAAAAAAAAAAAAGATAGAAGGTAACTCTAGTGTTCTAGAAATTCACATACACAGCAAAACAGACACCCACATCCACTAAAAAACCTGTCTTGTACAACCTACAGAGTAGGAGAAAATATTTGCAAACTATGCATTCAACAAAGGATTAATATTCAGAATATACAAGGAACTCAAACAGGAAAATAACAAATAACCCGAATGAAAAATGGGCAAAAGAGCTGAATAGGCATCTCTCAAAGGAAGATATACAAATGGCTAACAGACACATGAAAAAATGCTCAAAATCACTCAGCCTCAGGGAAATGCAAATCAAAACCACACTGAGATATCATTTCATCCCACTTAGACTGGCTATTATCAAAAAAACAGAGAATAACAAATGCTGGAGAGAATGCAAAGAAAGTGGAACCCTCCTACACTGTTGGTGGAACTGTAAATTGGTGCAGCCATTACAGAAAATGGTACGGAGTTTCCTCAAACTATAGATAGAACTGCCATACAATCCAGCAGTGGAATTGTGGAAATTATCATGTTGAAGGGATATCTGCACCCCCATGTTTATTGCAGCTCTACTTACAATAGCCAAGAGTTGGAACCAACCTAAATGTTCACTGCCAGACAATGGAAAACGTGGTATACATACACAATGGAATATTACTCTACCATAAAAAAGAATGAAATACTGCCATTAGCTACAACATGGAGCAACTTAGAGAAAATCATGTTAAGTGAAGTAAGCCAGTACAGAAAGAGAAATATCGCATGTCCTCACTCATGAGCGGGAGCTAAAAAATAAACAAATTTTTTAAAAAAGAAAGAAAGATAGAACAATTACAATAATATGGTGAATTTTCAAAAGGAGAGAACGAACCAAGGTTACCAGAGGTGGGAAAGGGGAAGGAAGTATGAGGTAAAGGAGGATTTTGTAAAGGGCCACAAAAAACTATTACATTGATGTTGAATATACTAATTATCATGATTTGAGCATCATATATTGCACACAGGTAATGATATTCAACTCTACCCCACAGATATAATCAACTATGTTGTGACAAAAAAAATTTTTAAAATAAATATGGAAATATTGGTTCATAATTGTAACAAATATACCACACTAACATAACATGTTAATAATAAAACAGGGGCGGGGGGAGTGGGAACTATCTGTACTGTCTCCTCAATTTCTCTGTAAATCTAAAACTGCTATAAAGTCTATCATTTAGGGGAAAAAAAAGAAATCACTGTATGTACTAGAAATGTTTACCTATACCTATATTTACTTACTGCTACAATTTTAAAATTGCTTTAGTGGTGCTGTTAACACCAAGGTCCAGGGTTCAATCCCTCTACTAGCCAACCAGGAAAAAAAAATGGCTTTAGGATCCTCCAAAGACAACTATTAAAATTAAAAGTTTTAAAAATTTTATTTGTTCTTAGTGGTGAAAATATGCACTAGAGGGCCGAGCCCGTGGTGCACTCGGGAGAGTGCAGCGATGCTGTGCTCCCGCCGCGGGTTCGGATCCTATATAGGGATGACCAGTGCGCTCACAGCACTCACTGGCTGAGCGCGGTGCGGCCGGTCTCAAAAAGGACAAAAAAAAAAAAAGCACTAGAATTTCAAGAGAATATATTTTTATTCAATAATTTTTTTTAATATAAGTACTTCCATGAAATAAATCCCAAGTATGACATTTAAGTTTCTCCAATATAATTTATTCTTATTACATTTTTGTTTGCATTTATTAAGTATCTTGGAAATATTACAAAGTGATAAATCTCCAGAGAAAGACCATTAACTAAGGAGGGAACAGTCTCACTTTCTTAGTTTCTTAGTGTGTCAACTTTGGAGTTAGCCCGCTCACCTCCCCACTACAGATGCTTGCTCTCTTGTAATTATTACTGTGTAATTGAATTCAAGATGTGACTGAAGCTTGAATTTACATTTGGCATCAGGTAAGTGTGAATCCGTGAATACAGGCCACCAACTGCATATAGGAGACAGTATGCTGAAGGGGTCTTCCTTGACAGTCAATGATGACGAATCTGGAAAGACTGGCTATTCTCTTGGGAGAAGAAAACATACTCCACCTAAAGTGGCAGTTACAGTTTTCTAACAGAAAAAAAAATAGTGAAGGGAAAGAATCAATGGTAAGGATAGGGAAAATACTCTGAGAATAGAGTAAGTACAATATATACACACTGGAGTAAACAGCGAGGTTTCTCCTGAGTTTAGCTCTTGCTTTTATTTTAAAAGTCTGATAAAAACTTACTCAATTACATTTTATACAGTAATATTTAGTGAACAATGTCCAAAAAGGCTATGTTTTAAGTTCTTTTGTAAAAAGAACAAAAGCTTTATCACTCAGTCTCTGGTCAATAAGAAAGGAAGAAAACCTTGCTAGAAATAACAATAAATAATTTCACACAAAAGGCCAGGTGACATAAGAATACTATATTAATCAATATATTTTCTTTGTATTTACAATAAATCCATTTGTTAATACTGTGATAGAAAAAATAATGAATCAGTCCACATTATGTAGTAGAAACAGGTTTTGATGATGACCATACCTCTCACAATAAAAACATATAAGGATTTCTCACACAGCTAAAGTACTTTTTAACATAACGACAGTCGTGGGTGAAGGTAAAACTGACAGAGTACTTTAGATAGGTTATGTCCTAGAATCAAGGAATCAAAGGCATTACCATTAACCAAGCAGCAAAAGGCAGTTTAGTCTTTCCAGAACTATTTAAATATAGTAGTTATCACATGAGAAGTTAGTTTTAACTTGTGAATTAGAAAAAGTAAAAACTCTAAACTGTGAAACTGCATTAATCAAAAGCAATCCCAAACAAAAAAGCCATCAACAGAAATGAAACAAGGCATTCTTATAGCTGTATCATGCATAAAAAGAATAATTACATAAGATATTCCTTAATGACCAGACTAATAAATAAATTAGGTAAATTTTACAGTCACCGGAACAAATAAACTATATTTAACCATTTAAGTGTTGAACTGACTGTTTCTGTTTCAAAATATAATGTGTAAAAACTGCACACTTCGAGTGTTTGCTTTTTAGATCCCCTTTTGAGATATTAAAGAAACACTGTAACAAAATATTATCTGAATATAAATTATCAACACCAAATATGAAACAGTTATCATGTAATTCTCATTCTTTAAATGCACAGTGGAAATACTGTAAAAGTTAGAAAAAAGGATGAAAACAGAGTGGCCAGAATTCTAAATTTCAGACTAATCCATGATAAAAATCTAGAACAGAAAAAAAACTAAATTTCATAAGATAGATAAACTGATATACTGTCCATATTTAGTGATCTAAGACATGACCTCGAAACAAACCTATTACCTCAAAGGTTTTTTAAAAAGAGGAAAAAAATGTAAATCTCTTTAAAGCTTTCGTTTTCCAGTTTATGCTTTGAAAAAAAGGCTAACATTAGCAAGAACAGCAACACTTTTTAAAAATCTAGAATTTCTAAATATCTATTTTAGTTATTAGCAAGAGATAAGAGAGAAAAATATTAAGTTAAATTGAATGTTTCAGTTGGATCAAAAATTTCCTACCATGCCACTATTAATTATCTATAGCTACCCTTGGTTTAGTGATTTATTAAGATGTTTACTGTTAACTATTGACAGCATTGTTCATAGTACATCAATTTCCATTTTTACTCTTTTCTCCTTTTGACACTTAAATGCATTATTTTAACCGCCTGACAGAAAATTTTATTTCACAAATTCCTTGTTTCAGTTACTGAAGAGATGACTTAAAAACATAAATGGAAGCAACTGCTAATCCTAAAATGATGATGATAATGATGATGATGATGATGATGATAGGAAAACTAAAAACCAGACGATTTTTTTAGTCAAATTTCTGCTTTAGTTTCTTCTGGAAGATGGCTGGCAGAATAGAAAGAACAGCTAAAATCATCAGAATAAATACTGAGTTCCAGGAAACAGCTTCCCCTGCTGTCGTAAGCTGGTATAGTGTTGTTCCTGCCTTAATTGCTACAAATGAGGGAGGAGCGACACCTAAAACAAAATATAAAAACATAGTAAAAACCACCAATTGTTTTCAAAAATTAAAAATTTTCTGTGTGCATAAAATTTCTTATAAGAATACAGCTATTCATATTTTGGGGGAAAAAATCATAAAGAATTTAAAGCTCCTCAAGTTTATTTCTGTATAAAGAATTCACTCTCTCATAATCACCTCTTAAGGATAATGAATTTTAAAAAGTCAAAGTATATCAGAGAACAATTTTACAACATTTATCAACAGCCTTTAAAAAAACAAAGTGTGCTCTGATCCAGCAATTTCTACTTTAGGAAATAATGTATATGAGCAAAGATCTGGTTTCAAGGATGTTAATCAAAGCATTATAATAACAAAAATCTGGAAACAGTCTAAATGTTCAAAAATAAGGTTGACTAGATAGATCACCCTTGACAGAACATACTTGAAATAAAAATAAAGTAGTAGGAAATATACTGACTTGGAAAGATACTCAAAATAAGCACAAAGAGCAGTTTATACAAGAGTACACACAGAATGATCACATTTCATTAAAAATCAAAACAAAGTGAAAACATTACTTTAGCCAATGCTGAAGTTAACCAACTCACTAGCTACTTCACCTGTAAAATAAAGAGATAGGCACAAAAATTCTCTTGATTCCATGAATATAACATTTTACAAAATTCAAAATTACCCATGATGATAAAATTAAGCCTGTCAATGGATTTTTTAAAGCAGCAATTAATTTTGATTCTTTTCCAAAAAATCTATTCTCACAAGTATTAATTTAAGCTTTAATTTAACAGACATTCAATACATGAGAAATCTCATTTTATTGGTATCTAAACAATTCAACTTAAATAGGAAAGAAAAGCAGATCACTCTCACTAAAGAACCAATAGAATTCAAAATATATAAATAAATCTTATTTCAATCAGTCCACTGATTGGTTTCAAAATTAAGTATCTGTTCTTTGAAAGCAAGAATGTTTGAATCTTTGTTTCCTCCATAATTTTGGTAATACCCACAATAAATGCTGATTTCAATAAAATGAAAAACAGGATCAATTTTCTAATGAAAATTAAAGTTCAATATTTTAACACTTGATTAGAAGACTAAGGAGAAAATTATTCATATAAGGCAACCTGATTTTTTTCTCTCTCCACTGAAAAGTCCTGTTTAACCCTACGTCATTAAAACAATAAGCAGTAGAAAATGCTCTTCTTTAAAAAGGTAACACTAAAATATCTAAGTGAACAAAATACAATAAACATTTCTGAGCATCTACTTATACAGGCCAGGCTTTGTGCTCAAGTGTTACACATGGTGCTGGCATATCCGCACAGAGCATGCAATCCAGCCCAGCTGGACACTGTTAGAAACGCACATAATGAGCTCTAACACAAATGAACCAGAGGCCTTACCTAGAAAAGTGCCAATAAAAAAAACCTTCAATGGCACATTTATCACAGGAGATGTAATGTTAATAAACCAATTGGGCAGAAATGGTGTTATTCTCAAAAATATAATGTAGTTAATGAGATGTTCTCTATGACGTTCAACCTGTCATGAGAAAGACAAGAAAGAACACCAGATAAGGCCAATCTTGAAAATAAATTGCTTAATATAAAACATCTTATTTCAAATTCTCATCCCCAATACTTCAATTTATCCAACAGAAACTATCAAAAAAGTTTAACAATGACAATAAACTATCTGTCAAATGCTCATCACTAAAGATAAATGATATCAGTTGTTTTTTTCTTAATTGTGCTTATAGCTCAATGTTATGCTACTAAAGATGGTTCTACATCAGCTTAATGATCATTTAATGATTTCACATCAACAAATCTAGTCCCCAATTAAAAAAATTTCAGGTAATCTTTATTTTATGCTACCACAATATACAACACACAAGTGAATTTATTGTTGATAAATGAGATTAAACAAATATACGGAAATATTTAGCCAATTAAATATAAGCACTGATTGCGGTTTATACTTCCACTGAATAACTCTTGGAATAGCTCACTTGGAGAAAATAAAATAACAATTCCAAAAAAAACTTACATGTAAAACGATTTTAATATTCAGTACTGATATGGTATAATGAGCACTACACTGTAGAAGTCTAGAAATCTGAGATTCTAAACCTTTCTTTACAAGTATATGATCGTGATTTGGGGCAAAATACTTAATTTCTCTTAGTTTCCTCCTCTGTAAAACAAAGGGGTAGGGCAGGATGACCTCTAAAATCCCTATGAATTTTAAGTCTATTTTGATTCTTTATAAAATAGGACTCTCTTAGTCCCTTCTGTGAAGTAGTGCTTATGTTTATCATTGCTAGTCTCTGCAGAGATCCTGACTGAAGATTACAATTGTTCCCACTGGTGAAATGCATTAGAAGTTGGCTGATACAAGTTTTTCAGTTTCCCATGACAGCATCCTGCATCAATACAAAAAAGATGAGGTTTTTAATTAAGTGGATGCCTTTATATTGACACTTTGACTTCTCTACTGATTGAACTCATTAGTATAAAGAATTTAAATTACTATTACAGGCACAAAAAATTTGTATTTGAAATTATTAACATTCATATTTACCTATCACTTGATTTTATTTTGGCCAAAAGATAATTCTATTACTAGAGTTAATTTATGCTGGGACTACATAATTTTATTTGTTATTAAGTTTATTAATTTATGTAGAGTTAATACATGTAGTTAATTTATGTAGGGACTATACACTGACCTTCCAATTAACCAAAGAGCTACATTGAATAATTTAAAAATACATGTTTACCTGCTGTGACCATTTTACTGCTTTCTCTGTCAGGTATTTATATACAACTGGTCTCCCAACTAAATAGGAGAGCATATAGCAAAATGAGGCACCAAGTCCAGAACACTGAAAAATAACAAGTAGCCATAAGCATTTTCCCGTCTTATTCACATGGATATATTCACCTGAAAAAAAGCTCAACTAGTTTACTACTTTGGGGGGGGGGGGGCGCGGGGAGGATACTCTGCATGACATCTATTGTGCAAAGAACAAGAACCCATTTGATCTAAGTTCTTTCTCAGACCAAACTGTAACTCGAATGAGACCAGTTAAACAAACTGGCACTTGTGATTAAACTTAGTGACTATATAGTGACTATATCCAGATAATTAATGTTAGCCTAAAGCCCAAGAATAAAATTGCAGTAGCAAATTTTTTTTTTTTTTTTCAATTGCTATGCTTAAAAATAACACTACCAGCCCTGGGACCATACCCACCAACACTCTTGGACTATCTAAGTTACAAAATGCAATAGAAAAGAAAAGCTAATACAGAGCTTATAAGTGCAATTAGTCTATGATACCCCTATTCTAGGGGGAAAAAAAACCAAAAAACTATAAAACTCTCCTTATGGAGAGACTTAACAGTATCACTTTGACATAAACTCCTATTAAACTAATGGTTCATGCTTACACAGATTAATGGGACTAGGATGCCATTCTCCTCCTCCACATTCTAAGTAAAGCTATTTTTTTCCAGAATCCCAATTTCACTTTATACTTACCAAACAAACAAGAAATAAGGCTAATGGAAAGGGATAAAGAAACCCTGAGAGTATACTGAGGAATATAGAGCCAGGAATAGCAAATGTTTGCAAGCTGTTAACTTCTAAGTTAAGGATTAAAACATAATGGAATTTTTTTAAAGACAAATCCAACATTTCAGAAAAAAGTACAAATGCAGAAATTACCACATTAATGAGATTATATCCATAGTTCAGTATTATAAAACAAAGTAAAATTATATCCAAAAGTTTAAAATATATATGACGACTCAGTTGTAATGCCTCTAAGTTGACAATTTACTAAAGAGTATCATAAATGCAATACTAATAAGTATATGCTACTAAAAGAAAAACCAAGACTAATATCCAACATGTACCAGATAGAGAGGAATTGGGCATTTTGGCAAAAAAAGAAAGAAAGAAAAGATCATCAGTAACCTCTTAAATAACAAGCTTCTCTAATGCATTTGATTTACTCCTAAATGTTTTCAGGAAACATTTCTGTGGAAATCTAGGTACACATAAAGTATAATAATTATTTGCTTCTAATTTAACTATGAAAATTCACCTCAATTCACTGCTCATTAAAAAAAGGATAGTGGGCCGGCCCGGTGGCGCACTGCTACAGTGCGCTGCTTGGGAGCGCGGTGGCGCTCCCGCCGGGGGTTCGGATCCCACATACAGACCGGTTCCTACTCACTGGCTGAGCGGGGTGCGGGAGCAGCACCGAGGGTTGCGATCCTGTTGCCGGTCCCGGTCCAGTATGGGCGTGACACTGAGGGTTGCGATCCGTTGCCGGACACGAAAAAAGAGACAAAAAGGGAAAAAAAAAAAAAAAAAGGATAGTGATATAGTAAAAATCACAAATTTTATTTATTTATTAAAGATGACCAGTAAGGGGATCTTAACCCTTGAATTGGTGTTGTCAGCACCACGCTCTCCCAAGTGAGCTAACCAGCCATCCCTATAAAGGGATCTGAACCCGTGGCCTTGGTGTTATCAGCACCGCACTCTACTAAGCGAGCCACGGGCCAGCCCTACAAATTTTATTTTTAAAACAGAATTATGCTTTTTCTACTTTCCTCTAGTTCCCTGGTTTGGTCTGGATCCCCTTTACACCCCTAACATGATTTACTTACAAGTCAGACAGACTGAGTGAATTCCCTCAATCTCTCTCCATCCTACTTTAAAATTTCTATCTTCACTCATTACTTCTCCCTCTTCCTTTTTTCTTTAGTTCTCACTTTCTTCATGTTTTCATTTCAATTTTCTCCTTCTTCCTCCTGGGTTCTCTCATCTTCAACTTCTTGCTCTTTCACTGGACCCTTCCTCTACAAAATTACGCAGATGTCTACAAATTAAAAATAAATCTAGGCTTTCCTAAACCAGTGTATCCTGTCCAGCTACTGCCTCTCATCTTCACTTTCTCACAGGAAATTCTCACCTTGTCCCCTACAACCTGGCTACCCATTCACCACTCTTTTAAAACTTCAAGGCCAAAATTAATGACTTTTTCTCAGTAGTCATCTTTTATTGATCCCTGCATAAAATTAGATCTCTTGCATGAAACTCACCTTCAGTGAACTGTACTTTTCTTTTACATTACAAATCATTTCCTCTTTAGATTTTTCTCCTTGCTCTCAAGTATGGGATATCTCTAACAACACTGTGGCAGCCACACTCTCCCTTTCCTTTAAAAAAATCTAGCAATTTCCATGGCATCAAGTTATACGGATAACTCCGAATTCTCTATCTTTGATTCAATTTCTCTAATCAAATACCAGTATAAAAATTTCCATCTGTCTACCAGATGCCTGCATTAACAAAATAATACGCATACACTCTTTTCAGGATTCTTTAAGACCTTATCATAGTTTCAAACATACATGAAAGCAGAGAATCTAGTTAATATAGTGCCCTAAATTAACACATCTCATGTGCAAATACTTTAATACAATTAAAAGGATTCCTTTTCTTTTTTTTTTTTTTCCTTTTTGTCTTTTTTTACTGACCGGTAACGGGATAGCAACCCTCAGTGTCGCGCCCGTACCGGGGACCGGCAACGGGATCACAACCCTCAGTGTTGCGTCCGCACCGCGCTCAGCCAGTGAGCGGGAACCGGTCTCCACATGGGATCCGAACCCTCAGCGGGAGCGCAGTGCGCCACCGGGACGGCCCAAGGATTCCTTTTCTAACATAACATCAATGTCAGACTTCAAGAAATTAACTACAATTCTTTACTGTCATAAATATCTAATCTGTGTTTAGATTTCCCAAGTGCCTCATAATTTTTTTTTACAAATGGTGTGTTCAAATCAGAATCTAAACAAGGCCTACCCATGCTATTTGCGCAATGTGTCTCTTAAGTACAGGGTCCTTTTATTTTTTTTCTTGCAATGTACTGAAGAAACCAGACCATTTGTAGAATTTACCATTTATTGAATTTTGCTTACTGTGTCCCTTAGCATAGTTTAATATGCGCTTCTGTCCTTTATCTTGTAGTAAAAGTTAACAAAACTATTCTTGCTTCTGCATGGGAATGTAACGTGAACTTTCTAACTGTTTAGATTCGTATTTCTCTCCTCTCACACTAAAAAATCTTGGGTCTTAATGACATCAATATAATTACCTATTTGACTTACATACTATTAAAAATGTTACATAAAATATATACTATATATTAGTATTGTTCTGAAACTTTTCCACAGTTTATTTCAGAATAACAATATTGTGACTAACAATATGATTACTGAAAATAATTTAAGAAATTTCTCTGAAGTTTTTTCCCTCTCTATGAATTTGCTCATTCTAAGTACTTCATATAAGTGGAATTATACCATATTTGTCCTTTTTGTATCTACTCCTTTGACTTGTATGTTTTCAAGGTTAATCCATGTAATAGCATGTATCAGTACTTTATTACTTTTCATGGCTAAATAATATTCCATTGTGTGCATATACTACATTTTGTTTATCCATTCATCTGTCAAGTGACACCTGGATTGTTTCCACCTTTTCTGGCTATTGTGAACACTGCTGCTATGAACACAGGTGTACAAATCTCTCTTCAAGACCCTGCTTTCAATTCATTTGGGTATATATCCAGAATTGCTGATCATATGATAATTCTATTTTTAATTTTTGAGGAATTGCCATACTGTTTTCTATAGCAGCTGCATTTTACACTCCCACCAACAGTGCACAAAGGTTCCAATTTTTCTTTGCCAACACTTGTTATTTTCTGTGTTTTTGATAGCAGCCACCCTAACTGGTGTGAGGTTGCTTTAGATTTTCAGGATTCCTGTTTCTTTTTTCACTTTGATTGTTACGTAATTACGTAAAACATTTACTTTGTTTTAGGGCCATATCTACAAAATGAGGTACATTCAGAGAAGTTTCACTTGCATCCCGGTTTCATCTCCTTTCTCACAGGTAAACATTTTTATTGGTTTTCCTTTGAAAAAACATAACAAATATTTATGTATGTATGCACTCATATCATCCCCTTCTTAGATAAAATATACCATACTTACATACTATTCTGCACTTTGCTTTCTCACTTGACTAGGTTAACCTGAGTTAATGCCTTAACAGCATACAGAGATATTTCTCATTCTTTTTAACAGCTAAATAGAATCTCATGTTTGGATTTACCATAGTTTACTCTGCTAGTATCCTATTGATTGAATTTAGGTGTGGAAACTTCCATACGAATATTTTTTTTTTTCCTTTTTGTCTTTTTTCGTGTCCGGCAACGGATCGCAACCCTCAGTGTCGCGCCCGTACCGGACCGGACCGGCAATGGGATCGCAACTCTCGGTGTTGTGCCTGCACCTCGCTCAGCCAGTGAGCGGGAACCGGTCTGTATGTGGGATCCGAACCCTCGGCGGGAGTGCCGCCGCGCTCCCAAGCGGCGCACTGTAGCAGTGCGCCACCGGGCCGGCCCCCATACGAATATTTAAAACTCAGCATGTTCTAACCAAAGTAAGTGATTATCCTTTTTCCTCAGCCTCAAACATGGTACTCTACTGAAAGGACAAAAATAAAATGTCAAAGATAAGATTGGCATAATATTGGTAACAGTTGAAGCTGGTTGTTGGGTACATAGGACTTCATTACAGAATTTCTCTATTTTTATGTATGTTTTAAATAGTCCAAAAAAAATAAATTTACTTTAAAAAGAGACTTAAGATTTTAGCCTGGGGAAACAAACAAAAAAAGAGGTGAGGGTGACACTTTTTTTTTTTTAAAAAGATGACCGGTAGGGGATCTTAACCCTTGACTTGGTGCTGTCAGCACCATGCTCAGCCAGTAAGTGAACCGGCCATCCCTATATGGGATCCGAACCCGGGGCCTTGGTGTTATCAGCACCACACTCTCCCGAGTGAGCCACGGGCCGGCCCGAAGGTGACACTTTTAACATCATTCTCTGCTCAAAAGTCCTCAGTGACTACCGAATGAATATTCTAAATGCATTAGTCTTGTTTTCAAAGTCCTCTGCATCTGAGTACAGTTGCTAGACTTACTTTACAATCCTCCCCTCCTCACACTCTATACTCCAACTAAAACTGACTAGTAATCACTTCCTAACACTGCCCTGTGCTTATAAACTCTGCTCTAGACTTGATCTGTCTGGAATGACTATGTGGTACCTCCATCCATCATTCCCCATTACTCCAACTAGAAATAGTTGTTCTATTTTGAATTACTACTTTTTTTTTTCCTTTTTGTCTTTTTTCGTGACCGGCAACGGATCGCAACCCTCAGTGTTGCGCCCTACCGGACCGGGACCGGCAACGATCTCGCAACCCTCGGTGTTGCGCCCGCACCTCGCTCAGCCAGTGAGCGGCCGGTCTGTATGTGGGATCCAAACCCTTGGCGGGAGCGCCGGCGCGCTCCCAAGCGGCGCACTGTAGCAGTGCGCCACTGGGCCGGCCCCTTGAATTACTACTTTTTAAAAACTAGTTAGGGGCTGACCGCTCAGCTCAGTTGGTTACAGTGCGGTATTATAATACCCCAGTCAAGGACTCAGATCCCCAGACCACCAGCCACCAAAAAAAACCCAAAAACAAATTAACAAAAAAACTAGTTGAATGAGTAAGGGCTAGGGTTAAAATAAAGACTATAATACAAAAAGTAATTTATACACAAGAGTTTGAAATGAGGTATTATTCAAGAAGGTACTAATACTGCACTGTTGAACATGTGGCCACTAGCCACATATGGCTATTGAGACACTGAAATGTGGCAAGTCCGAATTAAGAAGTATGGTGAGTATAAACTACACACCAAATCTCAAAGACTTAGTATTAAAAAAAGAATGTAAAATATCTCATTAATAATTTTTATACAAATTACATGTTGAAATGAAAAATTTTGATACTTTCAAACTAAAGATTCAAGTAAAATATATTAGTAAAATTAATTTCAAATGTCCTTTTTTACTTCTTCTAACATGCCTACTAGAAAATTTAAAACCTAAATGTGGCTCACATTATATTTCTATTAATCAGCCCCGTACTAGTAAAATCAAATCTCTGTTATATGCCCTATGATAAAGTCCTTTTTGTTCAGTTTAGAAGTACCTTTTTAACATTCAGAGCTTAAGATTCAGGTGAAAATAAACAGAAAATTATAAGAAAATTTGGACTTAAGTTCTTATAAAAATCTAAAACATGATGTAAAATCATTACAATTATTTAATTACTAAGTTAACAGTAACAATGTGAAATAAAAGCTGAACTGACAATATTACCCAATAACTTATTTTAAATTTTAAACCAAATGTATTTTGTAATAATAAACACATTCTCATACTTTCAATTCACCTTCTGTAGGACAATTTATTATTTTCTACTAAACTGCATATGGATATTAACACGAGGCTACAGCATTTATTACCCCATAGGTGGCCAAGATTCATTTATGCTAATTGGCCGATTGGCCAGGAGTGTGTATTCCCTTTATCCCTTGCCACGTATCCCTCCCAAAGCTGGGAAACAAAATGGGGCAAAAAAGATAATTTTCCAAAGTGCACAGAAATTACATGGCTTGTTCACAAAGTGTTCACAAAAACCTTATACAACACAAATGAAAGGGATGAACTAAGTTGTCTTCTATTTGGGGAAAGTACTTCAATTTATGATTAAAGTATATTAAAGGCAAAATAACCTGAAAGCCTAACACCAAGGTTTTCACAGATAAGTGACAAAATAAATTTAATAGAAAAGGCAGCAGTTACAGATTTCTTAAAATAGTGCATGTACAATTAAATTGCCCAAAATGACCTGTCAAAAAGATAGGTGCATAAAAATTATTCTCCAGATTTTCCCCAAATTTGAGTTTTTCTAATAATAAACAGGAAGGATAACGATAAAATACCTACATAAAGCACACTACCTAAATCCAAATGCATCTTCATCACATGGGTAAAGGAGTAATGTTTTTATTAGCAGCAAAAGCTTTTGTGAATGTACTTGTCCCTATGTTGCTTTTGCTAGGAGTAATTACTCCAATGTGTTTACACAGATACTCAAAACATTTGCATAAGGATGTTAACTATAGAAACATATACATAAATATTTAATCCAATATAAATTCAAGAAAAGAAAATGCTATTAAATTTTGCAGGAGAAAAGGTTTTAGTCAAAAAGTCCAGCCAAAAGAAATTCAGAATAAAAAAGGAAGCAAGAATATAGATACTTTGAGAGAAGTAACAAAGTAACTAATTTGCCTTTTTAAAATACAAACTGGCTTAAAAAAGATAATGATTACTTTTATAACATCAAGAGGTAATGCCTTCATTAACCAAGAAGATTTGGAAAATAGGTTGGACAAGAATAAAAGATAGAAAAATCAGAAATGAAAGTTAATGTCCACAAACTGGAAGATTAATCACCAATAGTATAAGTAGTTTGAAAGTATATAAAGAATAAAGCCATTTTCCTGACTATTTAAAATATAACGTATTTCTATAAACAAATAATATATACCAAGAACTATAAAAAACATTCATTCCTTTGAATGGCAAATTATCCTCCTGCAAAAAAAAAAAAATTGAGTTGAGATAGGATTAAAGAGGAAATTTTTTTCATTTTGATTTTTCGATATTATATTTAATATTGTTATACTGCATTAACAATTTTTAAAAGGAAAAATAATTATACATAACTGAACAGCAAACCTTTTAAACAACTTCTTGACCAAAACTAGAAAACATATTTTAGTTAAAAGGATACAAAATATACGTAGCAAAATAAGCTACAAGTACTTGTACGTAAAAGGTGTCCTTATATTTGGATAAAACTTTTCCTAGAGCCTTGGCATCATCCATATCTCTGGGAACCTTCATATTCATTCTTTCTTCTCTAAAGAAATAAAATTACGTGAAAAAATTTTTAAAACAGAATTTTGCCAAAATAATATCAAGGTCAAGTTTAAAACATGAAGTTTTATCCAAAATGATCTGCCACCTTGATCTGTTAAAGTCTAAATTAGCAATTTTTAAGTCCAAAAGTCTATAAATGACTTGTTTTTTAATGCTATAATTTCATGATATATAATCTATATATGAAAGTTCAAGATGACCCAAACCAAAGATTGGAACATTTGCTCCCACATTGGTTTAAATTTTAAATCTAGTATAAGAAATGAACCACTGATGTTAGTATATCAAAAAACATATTTAACATCATTTTGGGTAATCCTCATGATAAGCTTAAGTCAATAATCATTTACAACAGAAATTAAGTAAAAAATTTAATAAATTCACAGTTCACACCTTTCTGGACTATCCCAGCTAAAACATCAGAAAAGAACTTAAACGCTTTTCCCTTTCTTTATAATTTTACTTTATATTTGGTGCCTTATTTGGAACTAAATGATTTCTTGCTTATGAAGCCTCAAATAATCACCATTGTATTTAATATATATTGTACTCATTTGTCTACATGATAAAGTTTAACTGACACTGCAGAACAATGATGGGATGATGCTTTTTTAAGTCCTATAAAAATACCTGGTAAACTAAAATGGTTTCTCATTTACAAAATTTAAAAACTAAAAAGACTCTATATAAGTGTCCCTGCATGGTCATGCACAAACACATATATACATATATGGAGCGAAATAAGCAGAATATAAAATTTTTGTAATAGTACATTATTCTACACAAGTGATATGTTACCTTTCCTAGAGCAGATTGGGAGCAAAGACAACCTTAATCTAGAGTCTTTTCTTTCCCCGTTTCAGTCAGCTCTTTATTCCCTATTCCTTCATCAAAATCAGAAAAGATTTAAAATTCCATCATACTAATATCAACTTAACAATTAACATGCTCCCCTCCCAAAGGCATTTACATTGATGTTAGAAATCAAAATATTAAAATAAAAATAATTAAGTTTAACTATAAAATTTCAAACATAAAGAATTGTGAATGAAAGGAATTCATAGGAAACAAACTTGCTGAAACCTTGAAATCACATTTCAGTTATCCATTACCACATCAGGCTGGCCCTAGTTAAAAGTCTAACTACATTTTAGTCATCCTTTATATAATCCAAAATTATACCAGGGTGGTATTACTGTGGTTAAATAGCCCTGGGATATTTTGCCCTACTAAAATACGCTGCAAGACCACAATCTCTTTCTTAAAGTTAAAAAAATTCTGATAACCAAATCTTTACACCTGTTAATTTGTCAGCACAACTGACCCACACTTATTTATAAGTAAAGTTATTTATAGTATCTTATCATGCTTAGTGTTATTATTCAGGTTTCTCTGTAAAAATACAAAGGGACTTCAAAAAGTTTGTGGAAAAACAGAATTAAAAAATAAAAAATAAAAACTTAATTTCTCAATATAAGTTCCATCAAGATCAAGACACTTGTAAGCCAAGACACCAGCCATTTAGTCCATCTCTAAAGAATGAAGAGTCTTGGGAATTTAACCACATCAATGCAATCTTTTTAAGATTATCAGCTGAAGAAAAATGGGTGCCCTTTAAAGATTTTTTAAGATTAGGAAACAAAAAGAAGTCAGAAGTCATCAAATCAGGACTATTAGCTGGATGCCTAATGATTTCCCATTGAAACTCTTGCAAAATTGCCTTCGATGAGGAATGAGCAGGACGATTGTTCTAGCAGAGAAAGACTCCCTGGTGAAGCTTTCCCAGGCGTTTTTCAGCTGAAATTTTGGCTTTCTCCAAATATTCTCATAATAAGCAGATATTATCATTCTTTGCCCTCCAAAAAAGTCAACAAGCAAAATGCCTTGAGCATTCCAAAAAACTGTTGCCATTGTACTTGCTCTTCACTGACCCACTTTTGCTTTGACTGGACCACTTCCACCTCTTGGTAGCCATGGCTTTGACTGTGTTTGTCTTCAAGATCATAGCGGTAAAGCCACGTTTATCTCCTGTCACAATTCTTCAAAGAAAGCTTCTAGATCTCAATCCCACTTGCTTAAAATTTCCATTGAAAGCTCTGCCTTTGTCTGTAGCTGATCTGGGCACAACAGTTTGGGTACCCATTAAGTGGAAAGTTTGCTCAACTTTAACTCTTTAGTCAGAATTGTGTAAAGTTGAACCAATTGAGATGTCTATGGTGTCTATAATTTCTGCTGTTAATCATTGGTTCTCTTCAATCAGGGCACAAACCAGATTAATTTTTTCCTCACAAAACTGATGTGGAGGGCCGGCCCGGTGGCGCACTGCTACAGTGCGCCGCTTGGGAGTGTGGCGGTGCTCCCGCCGAGGGTTCGGATCCCACATACAGACCGGTTCCCGCTCACTGGCTGAGCGAGGTGCGGGCGCGACACCGAGGGTTGCGATCCGTTGCCGGACACGAAAAAAGACAAAAAGGAAAAAAAAAAACAAAACTGATGTGGATGTTCTGTCACTGAGGGTTTCATCTTCAACATTATCTTATCCCTTCTTAAAATGCATTATCCATTTGTAAACTACTGAATTCTCTGGGGCATTGTCCCCATAAACTTTCCGTAAAGCATCAATGATTTCATCATTCTTCCAACCAAGCTCACCATAAATTTGATATTTGTTCTTGCTTCAATTTTAGTAGAATTCATGTTGCTCTGATAGGAGCTCTTTTCAAACTGATGTCTTATCCTACTTAGTGCCTCAAATTAGATCCTGCTCCAACATGTTTTAACAAGTTAGTACAAGTTTATTTCAGCGCAAAAATATTTTGCACTCCATGCATAGTTTTTTCATAGTATGCACTTTCCATGAACTTTTTGAAGACCCCCTGTATTAATGCATTTGATTGTGGGATGCTGCCCCGGACTCTACTGAAAGTATTACACAATATACAGTATTACACAATATATATTCCATGTTATCTTTACAAAATGGAAAAATTTTAAATTCTGAAACACATTTTACCAAGGTTTTAGCTAAAGCATTGTGGATATGTATAGATGTACAGTCTTTTACAAGTTCACTCTTACAATTTCACTGTGAAAAGTAGTATTCGGACCATACAATTTCTACAAAACAGGGAAGAGAAAAAGAGCTAGAGGACAGAGATGTGGTAGGGAAGGAAAGGACAAATAGAAGAAGGCAAAAATTGATCAAAAGGAAATCTAGGAAGGAAGAAAATAGGAATGGAAAAAGGGGAAAGGCAGAGACAAACAGTATGTCTTATTCAAACTGCAGGTCAATATTATGGTCACTACTAGCATTAAAAAATAAAATGAAATAAGTGCAAAATATCAGAAAACACCCGTCTCATGAAACTTTAACTTAGTTTTATATGTATACGAGATTGCCAAGTGACAGAGAGAGAGAAGGCACATGTGTACAGGATAAGGATATAAAAGTGTATTTCTTATTGTAGTTATATATATATATTTTTAAATTGAAAGCCAATAGAAAGATGAATCTGTACTTGGAGAAACACTGCTAGGAAAACCTTGCATAGAAAATCAAGAGGCATTTTGGAAAGAAGTATTTATTTAACCTTTTTTTTTGCAGCTGATCAGTAAGGAGACCCGAACCCTTGACCTTGATGTTATAACACCATGCTCTAACCAAGTGAGCTAACCGGTCAGCCCCAAGAAGTTATTTAAAGAATAGTGTTGATATGGACTTGCTACAAGCCATGAAAGCTGATACACAATCACCATAATACTTCTGTTGCTTAAAGTAAGTTTAAGTCTTAACTTTTATTAATCTACTTTCATCTTATAAATATCTAGACATTTTTGGGTTCTCTCTCAGTATACTTACTCACTAAGCTGAGGAAAATTTTTATATACCAAAAACATAACAAAAGCTGCAGATAAGAAAATGGACACCAATATAAGGAGTGACATTCTTGCTGACCCAGCTTCTGCCCAGGCTTTCTCTGAAAGAAAAAAAAAGAAAGTATAATTAAGATATATATAAAGGAAAACAGTATTCCAAGTCAGCAAATAATTTCCTTAAACACTTTACTCCCAGAAAACTGTTGACACTTTTGCAAAAACACTGTGCCTTTGGGCCGAGCCTGTGGTGCACTCGGGAGAGTGCAGCGCTGGGAGCGCACCATCCCGCCGCAGGTTCGGATCCTATATAGAGATGGCCGGTGCGCTCACAGCACTCACTGGCTGAGCGTGGTGTGGCCGGTCTCAAAAAGGACAAAAAAAAAAAAAAAACACTGTGCCTTTAAATTTCAAGTATTATATAGTACATGAAGTTTATTAACTGGGCATATTATAATATTTTGGGGGGAATATATACAGTTTAGAAGCATGAAAAAAAAAGGACACCAGAATTTGCAGCATTGATATATTGATAAGCCAAAGGAGAAAAAAAGTTCTAAATGTTATATCTATATTGGAAGATGACAACATAGGCAGAATGACCTCTTAGGAAAAATGAGATAATTTGGCAACTATTTCAATTGTTCTCACCACACAGATATTCATTAATTCAACTGAAGGATGTTATAATTTCTCTTTAAACCAATGCCTTCAGAACCTTAAGCTGAACCTCAAATGTTTTGCGTGGTTCTGTCTGTGACTCCAAGAAAGGGAGAATATTTGTATTCCCTCAAAAGGTAATCTCAGTGTTATCTTTTAAATTATATGCAAGATAAAGGTATGGAATGAGATCCAGGAAACAGCAAGCAAAAGAACGAGTAAGACTGCTTTGCCAGGAGGCAATCAATAGTGGACCGCTCAATACACCGCTCACTGGGAAAGACACAGGAGTAGATGACTCACTTTTACTGCCTACATTTACCATTATCCCATGTATATACCAATAACACAGGATTGAAAAATATGTATACTATAATTAGGATTTATTAGTTTTAGTTACCTAAGAGTGAATCTACCGCTACACCCCTCCCCCAACTACTGCCCATGTTGCTTTCATACATGCTTTTATGAAGTATCCTAAACAAAAGAATTAGACTGCCTGTACTCTACCAATTTAGCAAATCTTCCTTTATAAAAGTTTATAAAGGTGTTTAGAGAGGTATCATTGCCTGCTCTACCCACATCCCCCTTCCCGGAGAACTAACACACTTCCCTTGTCCCCCAGAGGGGCCAATCTCCATAGTTCTGTTCTTTGTGATTTTAACACCCAACCCTCCCAAACACAGAAGGCTGACTTGAATAGCATATTTTGAAAGAAGTCTGTCTTTATTTAATTATTTATAAGTAGAAATAATTAATTATTGGCTGACCAGATTTTCTCTTGAAAATCTGAATTAAGAGATACTGTTTATAAAGGGTTGGCAGGTCTTGGGGTTGAAAGATCAAACAGTGGTGGCCATAGTCAATAACATGGTAAAAGCCAAAGACATGTACCAGAATATAAGAGAGACTGGAACAGAAAACAGAGAAGCAGAAATGAAAAACATAGCTAACCTACTTGTTGAGTTCTAACATTCCATTTCCCTTGAGGCCTGGCTATATTTGATTTCTTGCTCATGTATGCCAGTAAGATTGTCTTGTATTTTCTTACAACAATTTTCTTTCTTATGTGTGCTGATTTATTTATTATTTTTTTAAAAAGATGACCGGTAAGGGGATCTTAACCCTTGACTTGGTGTTGTCAGCACCACACTCTCCCAAGTGAGCTAACCGGCCATCCCTATATAGGGATCCAAACCCATGGCCTTGGTGTTATCAGCACCACACTCTCCCAAGTGAGCCACAGGCCGGCCCATGTGTGCTGATTTAAACTGATTTCTGTTCAACCAAAAGATCTTGACTAAATAACAAAGTGCATTTTGGGCTGGCCCGGTGGCGCACTGCTACAGTGCGCCGCTTGAGAAGCGCGGCAGTGCTCCTGCTGAGGGTTCGGATCCCACATACAGACCAGCCGCTCACTGGCTGAGCGAGGGGCGGGCGCAACACCGAGGGTTGCGATCCCGTTGCCGGTCCCGGTCCGGTATGGGCGCAACACTGAGGGTTGCGATCCGTTGCCGATCATGAAAAAAGACAAAAAGGAAAAAAAAAGTGCATTTTATCTCTTCTCCATTATGGCAGTCTTTATACATGTTATTGCTGAATTAGTAAGAATTTGCTAAATCTAGCCCATTGTTACTCAAACTGTGTTCTGTGAACTACATGAGTCAGCATCACTAAGGAGCTTGTTAGAAAGGCAGATTCTCAAGCCCCTGTCCCATATCTACTAAATCAAAATCTGCATTTTAACAAGACATCCAGGTGATCCGCAGGCATATTAAAGTCTGAGAAGCAAGGACTTCTGGCCCACCTTACCTATTTTATAGGTAAGTAAACAGAGGCCCAAAAGAGGTTGCACTATCTGCTAAAAAATAAATAAATAAAATCCTAAGGAACCGAATAGTGTAAAGTATAGCTCCAAAGCACTTTAAAATCCATTTATTAAACCTGTAATTAATATCCACTTATTAAACCTGTAATTTCTGCTAAAACAATTGCTGTGCTGGCTGGTTAGCTCAGTTGGTTACAGTGCAGTGCTGACAACACCAAGGTCCAGGATTTGATTCCTATACTGGCCAGCCGTCAAAAAAAAAAAAAAAAAAAAAAACTGTTTAGGTTAGTGCTTTGATATACTAAGCATAAATTATTCTTACCTATTAATTAAAAGATTTTCTGTAAGGTTTATCAAGTTCTAGTATGTGGAAAACAAAGTCAAAAAATTATCTTTTCCAATTTTCTGTAATCAGCCTAACCTCCCAATTAGTCCTTATCATTCTAACTCTATTATGTTTCATCTTCATCTCAAAAAGATTTGCTCATCACACTTCTAAAATCTATTGCAGAAAGGAGATGGGATCATAAAATAGTATAGAAGGTGCCTTCAATGGAGTAATAAACCAGGCATGCCTGCTTCTTAATGTTCGAGTTCATTAATCTACTAACATGCTAATACGTATGCTTTTTTTTGCAGCACAGAATATTAAAAACACACCTTAAACATGACGTAGGCTGAATATGAAAAGGTCTCTGCAGAATCTCATAATAACAAATGCCTAACTGCCCACTACATTTTTTCCCTGGTTATGGTATATAATTCAATGTATATAAGTAAATGATATCCACTCATCCTAAAACAGAAAAGGAAAAAAAGAGTAATCAGCCAAAAGTTACAAAAATATCGCTTTGTACTAAAACTAATTCAATTAAAACTGTAGTTTTAGTTTCTAAATAGAAAACCTATTTATAAACATAAATGATTCTCACAAGGCTAAAATGGTTAATTTTCTACTTTCCTAAATAAAAAGGTACTCTACTAGAAAAGGAATAAGGGTGATACATATTGAGTTTAGGAACCCAGTTTTCTGCGGGCTGACAGCAAAGCAAAGACATGTCAAGAAACATAAGTAGTCTGTATATTTTTTCAGGATAACTATTGCTTCCTAAAGGTATGCTACTTTTAAATCTATCCGGAATTAACTAGCCCCAGCCCACGGTTTTAACCGTACTTTCTTGCTAGAATCAGGTCACGAGTACAAAAAGGACTAACTCAGATAATTTAATATTATGAGCATCTTTTAAAGCCTTCAAAACCACTACTAATTTTGTTGTTTGTCATCCTAAAGATATGTATAGACACAAGAATGACTTCTAATAACAAATGGCTGATCTTTCTCCTTTTCTTAGAACTTCTCTCCAAGCTATGCACTCAAATATGGAGTTATTTAAGGCTGTCTGCTGAGCATCTATTATGTACAAAATATTTTGTTCCATCTTTACTCCTAAGAAGCTCATGTCACTGTTAGCTAGAACATCCCCCTCCCCTCCCAGGAACAGTAGAGTTAAAAGGGGCTTAGACTTTACAGGAAGGTAACATAACTGGATTGGAGTGCTGAAGGCAAGATTCATGGAGTAGGTGGAAATTTAGTTGAAGATCAAAAAATGGGAAAAGAGTTAACAGCTTTCTCATCTGTACTATATGTAGCTAACTACATTTTAAAGACTTAAACAGGTAATGCAGTCCTCTTCAATTAAAAACTAAATAAGGCATTTAGTATGTTCACTCTAAAATGAAACTATATTTTTCTTGACATTATGAATTCACCAGTCCTAAGTAAGGGGTCAGATGGGAGAAAGGTGTCGGACAATGTTTTACCGAGCTGCAGAACATTAACTATCTTGAGTTTTCCTTGAGTACGTTCTAATTGCAGCTTGTTGTCTTACAGTTGGATGATGAAATACATAGACACTTGAACAAAATTAACCTCCAGGTTTTAATGTGATACCTGTTTTCTTCACACTCTCAAATTAGGCTTAATTCTGTTTATATGACAAATAAAATCAAATTGGGCAAACTTTTCCAAACATTGTATTCAACAGAACACACAAGAAAGCAACTGATAACAACGCAATAAAACTGAGTGACATTCAATTTTGAGGCTCTCTTTTCTTTCACACAAACTGGTAAATAGGGAGTGTTGGCAATTATGATTCACAATCCTTCTTGAGCATAATTCTAATAAACCCAGACATCAGCATGTAATTCATTTAGAGTTCTAAACACAGATAAAAGTTATAAATCTTGTTTTTATGATAATTCTACATCTAAACTTGTAGCATACACATTTCTAACGTGCCCTCTTACGGCTGCATTAGATGCTTGTGCCATTTAGCATTTAGAGCTACTCACACAGGTACTTTATATTCATTAGCTTCCAAATCTTCTATCATACTAATTCCGAGTCTGAATTATCCTATTATCTGCTTCACCAACCTCCTCTCTGGCCAAAGAGTTTTAGATTTTTAGAGAAAGTCAGAATCCAATTCCCATTCAAATCCCAATACCAGCCAAAAAAAACAAAAACAAAAAACCATGTTCCCTAGGCCTACAACAAGTTCACATGGTTTCCTAATTCCAGTTAGAGTTATCACTGGCAAACAGTAATCCTTT